CCTCCATTAACTTGTCCAATCCTCTTTCAAAGCCATCCAGGTTGGTGGCCATCACTGCCTCCTGGGAAGTTTCGTAGTTTGACTCTGAGCTACATGAAGAAAACCCACAAAGAACACCCAGCTCCACCTTCTGCTCAAAGTTGGGACCAGCCTCACAGCCACCCACCCAGTCTCAACCCCCTTCCCTCATCAAGCTGTAATGTCCTCCAGAACAGACTCTGATGAGAGGGAGTTGTATCCCACCAACATCTGAAGGGCTCCATGTTAGTGAGGTTTGGTCTACAGCAGATGTGGGGAACCTTTAACACCCCCCTCCAGATGTTGCTGAACTACCACCCCCATCATCCCTGGCCATTGGCTGTGCCTGCTGGAACTGATGGGAGTTGCAGTCAACCAACATCGGGAGGGCCACCTGGTCTAGACCATACCCTTCATGGGAGAAAAGAGGAATATTATCGAAACTCCCACAAACTACAGATTAAGCAGATGCATCCCCACCAGTTATTAGGCAGCACAACATGGCATATGCAATGTATATGCAAGGCAATCCGTATCTGGTGTAGCCCCAGGAAAAATGAATTGATTCCTATTTTGCAGATTGGGAAACTGAGGCAGAGGTCACAAGTTGGCTGCCAATCCAGTTCTTCTTGGCCCACCTCCCACACACTATTCCCTTGGCTCAATATTATCTCTACTCCTCTGACTGGTCCCTGAATCTGTTAGGCTCTATGGCTGTCTATCTCCCACTGACTTGTAAGGCCAAATTGGGAAGGGGGTGGGGACCTAATCATACGTCAATAGGTTTGAAAAACACTTCGGCAACTGCAAGGTATAAAAGAGTGAAACCCTGTCAGCGTATAAGTCATGTGCTCAGAGACCCGCACTGCTTGCTGATTTGCTACAGGACCAAGTTCACAGGGTTACTCTGACTATAAAAAGTCCTTTGCAGCTTGGGACCAATAGACCTGTGAGATTGCTTCACCCGCATGCCCACAGGATCATTTCAGTCTGCAGAAGTAGCACTGTTATGGCCCCCATAATGCTTGCTCCACATTTGTGAGAAATTGTTCTCTACACCTGCGCGGTGGATCTCCCTGGCTGTTGACACCAGGCAGGTTCCTTCACTGTGCTCTTCTCAGTGCCTGCTAAAAACACGTGTCTTTGTGCCAGCCTACCCAGATATATAGAATGCTGGCAGCTGTTTTTAGTTTATTGTCAGTTTTAATTGTTTTTCTGATTGTTATCGCTTTATTCTTTTTTGCAAACTGCTTTGAGGTTCTTGTTTCACAGTCAAGTAGTATACAAATTTCACAACGTGAAATCATAAATAAATAAACACAATGGCAAGCTATGCCTGGCATGGTGCTTTAGCATTTGTGTGCACCCACTGACATGAATGCGCACTATTGGAGCAATATGCAACCACTTCAGGTGTTGAATTCCTGGAGAAGGAAACTCAGGATGGAGGTGAACTCTGCAGGACAACAACTCACACTGACAAGGTACACAGGAACCTGCCAGGTGAGATCATTTCTCCCTCCAGCCTGGTATTGTCAGTTCCAGCCTTCCCCACCCAGTTGCCCTTCAGGCTGGGCTACCATCACTGGTGCAGGCTGGTCCACTAGGGCAAATGGGGCCCTGCCTCAATCTACAATCAGCCATTCCCACCTGTTTGCCTTCTTGCTTATAACCAGTTCAGGGAGTGGCCCTGGCTGCCAGCTACCTCCTCCTTGGCCTCACTGTGGCCCTTGCATAACTCAGAAGGGAGGAGGATGATCAGACCAGCGACTCATACAGAGACGTATTGGAAGGGCTCACCTGTGGGCAGGTGTTTATGCTGCACCTCTGCTGGACTGAATGAGTCAATGACACCTCCCACAGAGACTTGCCCTGAGCTGAACCTTCTGCAGAGAGGGACCAAATGGCCTGTCTTTATTCTTTTCTCCCGATACCATAGTTGCTAGAGGAAGGGTCTTTTTGATCAAACCATATGCACTGTGCAGCTGTTTCAGCCCCTTAAAACAATTTCTCTTCATTATACAGGGTTTTGATTCCCACCCAACCCCCTTAAAACAATTTCTCTTCATTATACAGGGTTTTGATTCCCACCCCAACCCCCTTTTCTTGGACCAGATGCAGAATTCGCCCTATGTGATATTCTTAGCTTCTTTTAAAATGAGCAAGCAAATCAACCAAGATTCTAGTCCTTAAGACTGAAAAGGCAAATTTCCAAGTGTTACATGAGGGCAATGCTTGGTAACATGTCCAAAGAATATAGTTGTGAAGCTGAGCAGCATGTTCAGGGGCTAAGAGACAGAGGTCCAGTGCCACACCCACTTCTCCACCCCTCCCCATTTATAATTTTGTGTAAATTATGCATCAATGAGAAATGAAATGCACACAATGTCTTCTTTGGGTTCTCAAAGTTGAAAAGCAGGTGATACATTTCCCCAAATATCTAAGCAAACCAACCAACCACCCAGTGTGCTTAATTTGCATATAAGGCATACAGGTTGCAAAACCCAGGTTTTCTCTGTGCACAGACATCACAAAACACCTTTTGTTTTGTTTGTTGCATTGTTCTCCAGCTTGCTCCTCAAGATGCACCCACAACACTATTAGTCTACACTGTGCTTCTGAATGCTCAGCAGACAAGAGCAAAAATTAGCTCACCCGAGATTCTGAAGGAGCTTACTCAATAATCAACAAGATGGTGGCTGCAGCCAGATTTCCAAAAGGTGAGCTGGGAAAGTGTGTGTGTGTGTGTGTGTGTGTGTGTTGTGTGTGTTTGGGAGGTGGTGAGAATCAAGACACAGTCAATGCAAAAGGTGGATGTGTGTGCACTCAGGTGGGCTGCCTGTTCCCATGTAAAGACCAGTTCTATTGCAGACAGCTCTTCATGTTGCAAAAGATTTAAGCCAACCGTGGATAAGGGAAGCTGGGCGTGGTCAAAGCAGGCAGGCAGAAAAAAGGAGGGGGGGAGAAATCTGTGAAATCTATGAAGGAATATACACGACTGCCTTTGTGGGAACAACACGGCTGGCGACAGAGAAAGCTCACCCATGGTCAATGGGGTCGGCAGTCAGTGGGAGAGGACTGAAGGTAGGTGTTTATGAGAAGTGATTGATTGTTTAAAAGGAAGAGAAGTGTCAGGGGTGAACGCTACTGAAAACTGGGGTGGAAGTCCTGCTCCTGTCCCCAGATGCACGGGGGCGGGGTGGCCCTCCACACTCCAATTTTCAAATTATTATTTAGAAATGAACAGAAACAAATGAAATTGACTTAAAATACCAGATGTGCTTTGACACTGGCCAATTGCTCCCCCAAAAGGAGCAAAGTGGTTCTTTCCTGCCTCCCTCCGGTTCACATGGAGATCAAAGTTGTGCATTTCTGCATAGGCACCCCATAGTTACTATTTCAACACCTTCCACTCCACCATCATCCATCACCTTAACGATCTGCCTGGCATGCTGCTGCTGATATCCCAAATAACACAGGCAAATATGACACGCACACCCAACTGCTGCATTGGATCTTTCCTCCCTGTCCCAGATGCCAACTCAGAAACCTTGTCTGTGCACTGACCATAACAACCCACCATATATTCAGCTTACAAGAGGTCATGTTCTCTTAGGCACAAACCAAGGTGCCCTTTCAAAGGTTCCTACACTTATGACACACCTCAGATGCCCCTAAAAAAGACACAGGTTGTGCTGCTGTTGTTTTTAAAAGCAGCAGCAGCACTTTGCAGGGCACCCAGATGAAATTTTGGAACAATGCTCAGAGTCAGACCATGTTTGCTTGAAAGCACCCTGGATAATTAAGCATCCCTGATAGGAAAACCCACAGATTAGCACCAGATTCTGTGGACAAGGTAGGACTAGGATATTGTGCTCCTCTTCCCAGAAATATTTTCACCAAATCTTTACAAGTAAGTCTTCTCCCCTCCCCTTTAAAATAAAAATGGAGAATAGGGTCACTCTGAACAACTCTTTGGACCTCACCCCCCCCAAGTTGAAAAACAAAGTCACTCAAGGTATTGGGGTGGTTGTGGCAGGTACACATATGCCCACAATCCAAAAAAACAATCTGATACGCTCCCAAACAAGGTGATACGAGACCTGTCACAACTTGCCCAATATTTCATCACGTGCCTCACCTGGTGCATGCAAAACGCATCCCTTTGGATCTAACCACAACACACCCTTCTAGACACAGTGGTACCTTGGTTTAAGAACAGTCCTGTTTACGAACTATTCGGTTTACGAACTCTGCAAAACCGGAAGTAGTGTTCCGGTTAGCGAACTTTTCCTCGGTCTAAGAACGGAATCCAAATGGTGGAAGAGCACCAGCGGCGGGAGGCCTCATTAGGGAAAGTGCGCCTCAGTTTAAGAACAGATTCGGTTTAAGAACGGACTTCTGGAACGGATTAAGTTCATAAACTGAGGTATCACTGAACAAAAATCCACATTGCCCTTCTGTTCTGGTACATCAAGTGGGGGGGAGTCCCAATGACCCTTGGCACCACGTACCAAAACCCCAACCCACCACACAGTAGATGTCTGTGGAAGATGTGCGCCTCATTGCTAATCAAAGACATCCATCTGTAGGAAAGGGCGATTCTTAATGCACCGTAATCTCCCGCACTCTTGCATTTCCAGTGCCAGTTCAACAATCTGGTCGGAAACCGAGTGTTTCATTTTGCCTCTCCCCGACCGCGCCATAGGCAGGTTCCCCATCACACTGGACGTATTTCTGCAACACGCGTATACGCAAAAAGCATAAAACAAAATATTCGCAGCCGCCGCGGCGAAGGAAGCGGGAGGTAAGAACGAATCTAAACCATCATTTGGTGTAATTAAATGAGCCGCCACCAGCTACTCAGCCCGGCCCTTCGCTCTGGCTTGGCCTGAGGTGAGCGCACGACCCAGGCAGCAGCGAAAGGAAACCAATGCCCTCGTTTGGGCGTCCACAGATGCACGCGCCGCCGGGCCCCTCACCTTTCATTGTCCACGTTCTTGAAGCCAGGTAGAATGTGCCGGAAGCTGCTGTTCCTGTCGAGCTTGGGTTGGCTCTTTGTCCTTTTGATGGAGCCTTTAAGGCGCCGGCTCAGGAACCCCTGCGGGGAGACAGAGGGAGGCGGAAATTACCGGGACGGGCAGGGGACAGATGCGCATCCGTTCGGGCGAGTTCTGAGCCCCGGCTCTCCCGCGGCAGCAGTGGGCACCGTGAGGGCGGGGGGTGGGTGGGGGGGAGAGGAATGCTGGCTTCTGCCTCTATGCCGCGGCACAAATATTCCATCCAGCCCCTGCTCAGAGAAGCCGGCGCTGCTACGTTGGCGCGAGACTCCCCTAAGCCTCGGTTGCCTTAGCAACCACCCGCTCTCACACACCCCTTTTTCAAAAAATGCCACCGAGATACAAGACAAGCATATTGCAACTCCTGGCACATCGAAGAAACGCTCTCGTGTGGGAGGTAGTGTGGGTGTTGTGGGGGGGGGGTAGAAGGGAGTTTGATCTGTCACTATGACCGAGAGACCCCGTGCCCACCGCGGGGGGGGGCGGGGGCGGGGGGCGGCAAAGGTGAGAGACCTCGTGGCAATGGAAAGGTGGGCAAGTTGACCAACATTCAGCTGGGAATGTGAGTTGGGATCAAACACACACACAAAAGCATATGAGATCACCTTTGAAATGAAAACCTTGCGGGAAAGGTAGCTGCAGAATTGGATGCGGCTTTAGAGATGATAGCTAGATATAGACATGAGATTAACCCTTCGAATGCAAACCTTGGGGAAGGTAAAGGTACCCCTGCCCGTACGGGCCAGTCATGTCCAACTCTAGGGTTGTGCGCCCATCTCACTTAAGAGGCCGGGCGCCAGCGCTGTCCGGAGACACTTCTGGGTCATGTGGCCAACGTGACGAAGCTGCTCTGGCGAGCCAGCACCAGCGCAGCACACGGAAACGCCGTTTACCTTCCCGCTAGAAAGCTGTACCTATTTATCTACTTGCACTTAAGGGTGCTTTCGAACTGCTAGGTGGGCAGGAGCTAGGACCGAAAGACGGGAGCTCACCCTGCCACGGGGATCCGAACCGCCGACCATACGATCGGCAAGTCCTAGGCACTGAGGTTTTACCCACAGCGCCACCCGTGTCCCTAACCTTGGGGAAGAGGTACCTACAAAACTGAATGGGGCTCCTGACTTAAGCCAACTCCATGGGGTCCCACCCACTGATAGTCCAAAAAGGGATGGAAAAGCAAAAAGCCATTTTCAGATAGAGGCACATATTTCCATTGCTCTGTTTCCACTAACAACAGGCTGAGCTGTGTGGTTCTAGAGTGCCACCTAGAGAGGCAATACCAGTCCACCTGAACCCTGAGTGTTCCATCAGCTGACACTCCCCAAAGGGCCAATCACAGCCCACCAGACCCCATTAAAGACCCAAGTTCAGTACGAGCAACTCATCTCTAGTGTGAAGACACCAGTTAAGCTCCTGCTCCCTTAGGTCTAGCACACCTGATGATTTCAGCTATGCATTTCCCTCTAGGCCCCTTGCATCCTTGTTTGGTGGTCTGAGATTTGGGCCTCCTTGGGACCACATACCTTAAAAGGTAAAGGTACCCCTGACCTTTAGGTCCAGTCGTGGACCGACTCTGGGGTTGCAGTGCTCATCTCGCTTTACTGGCCAAGGGAGCAGGCGTACAGCTTCCGGGTCATGTGGCCCAGCATGACTAAGCCGCTTCTGGCGAACCAGAGCAGTGCACGGAAACGCCGTTTACCTTCCCGCTGGAGTGGTACCTATTTATCTACTTGCACTTTGACGTGCTTTCGAACTGCTAGGTGGGCAGGAGTTGGGACCGAGCAACGGGTGTTCACACCGTCGCGGGGATTCGAACCGCAGACCTTCTGATCGGCAAGTCCTAGGCTCTGTGGTTTAACCCACAGCGCCACATACCTTACTATATAATAAAATTGTAAAGTCTTTTAGTCACCATGTTAGTTTATTTATTTGCCTAAAAGCATTCCTAAACCACTTAATATTTTAAATCTCCAAGCAGCGTGCAGGATACGAACATAAAAACTGTTGCTAGGAATGGAGCCCCTGTTTCCATAGGCAATCTACCTCAGAGTGCAAGGCATCTTCACTCAGGGAGACTTATTGCCTCTGAGCTTAGCTTGTGGGCTTCCCAGAAGCACCTGAGTAGCCAGGTATGAGACCAGGATGCTAGAGAGGAAAATCTTTGGATCTCCTCAATGCTCCAAGCTCTTGTCGCACAGTTCTTTTCATGCAAAATTCATATCTTGGTGCTAACCCCATATATCGATTTGAAGCAACATTAAGGGCAGAAGGCTGGACTTCAGAGAACAGGATGGGTCTTGAAGAGGCAACTGGAAGGATATCAGACTCTATCTCATTATCCAGCTTTAGCCAAAGAAGAGAACTGCAATTAACAGACTGTAGCCAGAGTATGTCAGGGTAATCCCTGATCTCCATAATTGAGACTTCACCAAGACAGTAACTTCGACATGTTTTGTGTAGTAGCAAATTTAAAAGTGCATAGTCCCTTCATGACAATCACAGCCACCCCCACTTCTCAGATTATACAACCTCATTAGTTTATATAATAATTTTATAATTATGCAATAATTAGGAATGCATTGTGACAATCAATGCATACCTCCATGCATTGCCTTTCAGCTGGATCCAGTATTTTCTCTGCACATCAATGGGCAAATGATTTGGAGAGCCCAATGACTTCTTCTGGAGTGACTTTGTTCCATTTTATGTAACCTCAGAACTTGCACCCCGTTCTCTTGCCTTGTGTTTTCCGTGTTCCAAGATGCTTAGCTTTGGAGCACACAGGATGCTCAGTGTTCTTCCCATGCGTTTTCTCTGGGGAGACCCTGGGAGCTCATCCTCAGTGGCCGACTCACCTCTTTTCACTCTGATTGGCTCCAGTTGACACATAGCATGAGAAGACTTCAGCAGCTCGAAAGCTGCTTTTCCATGCTGATTGGGTGGCCTGAGGATGCTGGTGGCAGGGACCCCTCCAAAGGCTCTGCCACAGAAATAGCAGCAGGTCTTTGACCTCCTACAGCCCCTGATTGCTACACCTCTGGACTACAACTCCCATCAGTCACAGGGGCTGATGGGAGGTGTAATCACAAACATCTGGCCTGCATCACACTTTGCCTACATGGCACACTGCGTAATCCTCAATGCGCACCATGCTTGGACCTCCCATACATCTTTGGGGTCACTGTCACAGTGTGCTCATCCACGGCCGGACACCCCTGGCAACACAATGATAACAGTGGTGTGCCTTCAATGAAAACTGCAGGCCTTAAAATATGCAGATTGCTATCTTCATAGCTATAGCTATGCCCCCATGGTCAGATGCAGCAATGCTCCTGAATGCCAGTTGCTGGAAGCAGCCCCAGGAGCGTTCCGTGCTCTTGAACTCAAGTCCCGCTTACAGGTTTCCCACTAAGGCATCTGGCTGGCAACTGTGAGAACAGGATGCTGGACTAGGTGGGATTCCTTTGGCCCAATCCAACAGGCTCTTCTTGTGTTCTTTTCCCAGGCACTTAGTTCCTGGTGCTGGCCTGTGTGCTCTGCGCAATGGCAGATATTGTGGGCAGATTATTGGAAAGTGGCGCACGAGAAACTCAAGGTCTTCAGCGACACTTTTTCCTTTTTGAAAGACAGGAGAACATACCAGCTGACTCTATTCCTTTATCTGTCTGCCTTCTCCATTCAGGTAACTGTACCTTCCTTATCACCATGGCTACAGAGAACCTGAGGAAATCATATACCGGCATTGTTCAGTGTGAGGGGAAGTGTCTGTGTTTGCGTGTGTGTGCTTGCGTGCTGTCCAGGGAGAAATCCACACAGGCATCTTTGATCCTCACCTGACCACCTTTATCCAACCAACTGGAAATTTCTGGCAGCCCCCTCCCCATTCCTTTAATGCAAGTCAGGCTGGAATTCAACAGGCAAAGCCCTTTCTTTTCTGACTCTCATCCGCCCCTCCTGGTTCCACATAACAATCAAAATAGATAGCATCATGGGGAAAAAGGGGGGAAGCTGTGACCTTCCAGATGTTGTGGGATACAAATCCCATGAGCCCCAGCCAGCAATGCCAATGACCAGGGATGATGAGAGTTGTAGTCCGGCAACATTTGGCAGGGCACAGGTTCCCCATCCCTCTGTGGGTTAAATGGACTGGCAACTGGATCCAGCAGGAATCTTCACGTGGCTCCCCTCTACCCATGGTACAAGGCATACAGTGGTACCTTTGGTTAAAAACTTAATTCGTTCTGGAGGTCTGTTCTTAACCTGAAACTGTTCTTAACCTGAAGCACCACTTTAGCTAATGGGGCCTCCTGCTGCCGTTGCACGGTTTCTCTTCTCATCCTGAAGCAAAGTTCTTAACCCGAGGTCCTATTTCTGGGTTAGCGGAGTCTGTAACCTTTAGAATATGTAACCTGAAGCGTATGTAACCTGAGGTACCACTGTATTGGCATATTGTTGTGCACACCTCAATCTCCAAGTGGTCAATGGAGACTGTACTGTTTTCGGAAGACATGGCTTTATTTACACATCTATACAACCTAAGCATAGGATGGAGGGACTCATAGCATTTATTCCCTGACAGATCTTGCTTGCCTATTATGGTTCCTGGGAAGCCCCAAGTTTTGGGTCCAGCACAAAACAGACAGGTCTCGGTGTATCCTGCTTCCAGCAGCAGCCCAACTATCTCACACCGCTCTCTTAGGCACAGCTCACCTGGTCTATTGCTCCATGGTATTCAGAAGCATTGCTGCCTCTGATCATTGAGGCAGAGTATAGCCACCATGACGAAGAAGAAGAAGAAGAAGAAGAAGAAGAAGAAGAAGAAGAAGAAGAAGAAGAAGAAGAAGAATTTATTTATACCCCGCCCTCCCCAGCCAAGACCGGGCTCAGGGAGGCTAACACCAGGTAAAAACAATTGATTAAAATACAACTTAAAAACAGGATTAAGTACAACATTAAAATGCAGCCTCATTTCAGTAGAAACTCAAATCAAAAACTTTTGGGGGGGATGAAAAAGTCAAATCTTCACCAAGGCCAGCTCTCC